TAATAATAATAATTAATTAATCAATTAAATTTATAGGATCGGACAATATCAAATGGTATAGATGCTCGATCACTTGTCCAGTTTAACTCGAAGGACGAGTCTAGTCTTTTTGGTTTTAAAAGACCAATTTTATTTAGACTAGACAGTATCGAGTTTGTCTCGAGTTGGATTAAATCAAATTGGATTGGAGGATTTTTGTAAAGCGCTACATAAGCCTATGTGGTTGGGGGGCTCCATGACACAAGTCTGTCTGTAATTTTTTTTTTCTTGAATATTTATTCTTATAATTTTATATTTGTAAAAGATCATTACATGTATAATTGAGATTCAGACCATTATACCTTTGATGTTACAATTTATAATTTATGTGCTATCCTTTTATTATTAATTTTATATTTAAAAATTTTTTTAACAAATTTCTAAAACTAGATTCATTGAAGTGAGCCTATACAATAAATATGTACTTACGAACATGCCCTAAATGGCTAAGCCCATATTATAAAAGTTCATATTAGGTCAAAAAAAAAAATATTATGAAAGTTCACATGGTTTTAGCTGACCCCTTTCCTAGCTATAAACGCATTATAGAAAATATTAAAACTTTTATTCAAGTGAATTGCATAGAATATATACATAAATTTAAGAAAAGAACGGAGATATATGAATATATGATATATCATTCATAATATCAATGTTGTTTTAACTTTTAACTTTTAAAAGAGCTTTATATATTTGTGAGGGGGAGAGGAGATGTAAATATTAAAAAAGTTACTGTTAAGATATTTTTGAAATTAATGAAATTTGCAAGTCTTAATATTAATTTTATTAATCAGGACTTAAGTGTTATTTTTTCTGTACATTTTGTAACGGCGAGGGGTAAGCAATTTGCGGCCACTCACGATGAGTTGATGACGACACCATGACCTATCAAATATAAATAAACAATCACCAAACCTTATTAGCTATTTTTATTTAGGGCTTCGTTTGGTATGATGAAAGAGTTTTTGATAGAATCGGAATCGAAATTGAAATTGAAATCGGAATTAGAATCAGAATAGAATTGAGTTATAAATGTATGTTTGGTATGAAGATGGAATCTGAATATAATATTAATAAATATATATATTTAAAATAAATAAAGACCAAAATGCCCTTATTAAAAAAAAACTTAGCCATCATGATGGAGTGTGTATGTGGAGCACTTATGACAATTCCATGGAATTGTGGCAATTCCATCATGATGGAGATGGAATTGAATTCTAGGTATTTTGGTAGAATTGGAATCCATAAGGAATTAGATTCATGCATACCAAACAATTGAAAGCATGATTCCAATTCTAATTTCATTTCTCTTGGATCCAATTCTAATATACCAAACATGACCTAGGGGTATTCAATTTGAATCTATCTCAATTAATTTAGTATCATTCCAATCATCTCATAATGAGTTTTATCCCATCTTGAAAATAATCAGGACAGGACATGAGATTATCATCCCGTCTCATCCCAAATATTATTATGTATTATTTTTATTTTAAATATATTAAATATATTAATATAATTTATATTTATATTAATTATATCAATTATAATTTTAATATTTGTAATTATTATTTAAAACTAAAATTTTTTTATATTTATAATTTTAATAACATGGAGTAAACATAGCGATATCTTTTTTTATAATACGTTAATTATATTAATATAATTTATTCTCATATCTATCTATTTAATAACTTTTATTTATATTGTATTTTTTATTTTATTTTCAGAAAAGTAATTAGCTTAGCATATTTCAATTAAAGTAAAAAAAAATGATTTGATATTGTGCTTAACTTGCCTGTTATTGCTACTCTTATAACTTAAAGATCACTTGTATTTACTATTATAATGTGTAGTTGTAATTAATGTAATTTAATAATTGACTTTAAATTATTGTGATTTATGTACTTGTGTTGTTTTGATTTTAAACTTAATAAATTATATAATTTAAAATTTTAATGAATGTTATTATCTAAATCTTTTATGATATTATCCGATTTATCAAGACGACGGGATATCCTGGTCCCATCCTGAATCCTAACAGGACGAGACAGGACATGAGATCAAAATTCAGCCTTGATATTTTTTTTGGGATAAGGATGTCTCGATCTCATTCTGTCCCATGAACACCCCTATTCCTATTTCCTCTTTCCTCTTTCAGATTCAAACTCATGCACGTTAGTGTTAATTTAATTGAAAGCACAATTTTAACCTAATTTCCATATATAGTTCCTATAAACATTATGGGCTTTGAATATACGTTTGATTGCTTTTTATCTCCTTTTTCTACATAAATACAATTCATAAAACAAATTGTTCTGAAAAATTTGTCACAATAATTCTATTTAGGGTTAACGTGTAAAAAGAACCTGAAGCATGGCTCGAAAAGTGTTTTAAACTCTAAACTTTTAAAATATGTAAAATAGACTCTAAATTTTTAAATTCATAGCAAATTAAACCTTACTGTTAACTCACTATTAATGCTATTACCATTCACTTAATGGGGCCTGGTCAAAATGATGATATGGTAGTTCCTTGTTCATATATCATTTTTAATTAGCACCATAAACCCTAAATTATTGCGCAAGCAGCATCATGGACCTTTAATGAAATTCAGAACAAATTACCTCTATCATTTATATGCAAAATGATGACTATTATATAGACCAAATTAGCTTCAATGTGTTCACCGTTGTGAATACATTGTTGGCCATAGTGAACCCATGATTTTATGAAATGACATTTTCTGTCCCTTTTTTTACAATATTTTTTAAAAGATTGGTATCTAATATTTTCATATATTCTATAACTCTGATTTAATTTTATTTTAAATAGTATTTATTTATTTAATGGTAAAAATTTGGGATCCCATTTGAAAAGAAGTTTAAGTATTAGAAGATTTTACAGATGATGGATGTAAAAGCCAATAATTTTATGAACGAATTTCAAACTCAAATTAGCTGGCTAATTAAAATATTAAACTTCTTTTCAAATGAAATCCTAAGTTTTCACCATTAAATAAATAAACATTATTCAAAATAAGACTAAATCAAAGTTATAGAATATATGAAAGCATCAAATACTAATTGTTTGAAAAATATTGCAAAAAAGGAGTAAAAAATATTATTTCACAAAATTATGAGTCATTCACCACGACCAACGATGAAATTATTGTGGCGAACCATACTAAGGCTAATCTTATCTATATAATAATTAACATTCTATACATAAACGGTATGGATAATTTGCTTTAAATTTTAAAGTTTAAGGTCCAGGATGTTACTCGCACAATAATTTAAGGTCTGTGGTATTAATTAAAAATGGCACATCAACAAGAGACTGTCACATCAGCATTTTGACTGGGCGCCACTAAGTGAATGATAACAGTGTTAATGGTGAGTTAATGATATGGTTTAATTTATTATGAATTTAAAAATTTAGGATCTATTTTGTATATTTTAAAAATTTAGGGTTTAAAGCACTTTTTGTGCCATACTTCAAGGTCCATTTTACATATTAATCCTTCTATTTATATTACTTCTTTTTCATAGTAAAATATAAACATTTTTTTAAAGTTTTGTTTGGCTCACAATATAAAATATTAAATAGTTTTTATTAATTTTTTTTTAACTATACCTTTCTTTATTTATATTTTACTTTTTTAAAAAGTAGTACATTACAAAAATTAATTAGGCAGTTGTGACTTGTGAGTTGTTATGGTTAGGACTATTCATATTACAGCCCAACGATGAAGGACATAAATTTATGACCAAACTCATCGTGAACATCGTCACAATCCCGTGAAAAGAATAAAAAAAAAATTATAAACCAAAAGAGTCAAATGCAATACTGTTTGGGTTGAATATATACTTTAGCCACTGTCAAATATGCACACTTAATGGCGAAGTCAGGAAATTAAGTGAGGAGTGCAGGATGATATAATTTAAAAATTAACAATTAAACAAATAATATTCTAACTTTTTAAAATCAATTACATTAGACAAAAATATAATAATATAAATAAAATTATACATTTTTTTATTTAAACAAAATATGTTGAAATTTTTTTGTCAAAAATACGCCGATAATTTGGAATAGGCATCATTGTTGGACGACGGTGACAGACTCCTTAGATATGACACATTGACGAGATGGAAGTGGTACGAGTAGACTCTATTCATCCCATATCTCCTTTCATTTGGTGAAATACTCAAAAAAACTAAGCAAACCTTGTGTGCAAGAAGATAAAGCCTGATGCAGAGGGTAGATTTGCGTACCATCAACCTTGCGAAAACATTATTGCAAGTTGACTGAGACAAGATGAGCAATCTCAAAAAAAAAAAAAAAATCCCATTGGCTATCTGCTTATCCACTGAGTTTAGGAGCCAAGAGATCACCACAGCATTATATCGACCCCATTGGTCACGTAGCTTGGGATCTTGTCGTTTCCTAGTGCAAGACCCATCTGGAAATCCTAACTTATTCTTTCCATGAATTGCAAGATGAATGATGCGACTCCAAACAATGTAGTGCTTGAACCCGTCAAAACTTCCGAGACTAGGGTTGAAATTCGCGTATCGGATGGATGAAGATAGAGGGAATGATTGAAATCGATAAAAAGGGAAGATGACGACGTACCTTTTTCATCACTTGTCATTGAGGTGGCTAATCGGAATTGTTGTCTAGATGGAAGACGATGGTGATGAGCTTTGGGTGAGTGGATGTGATTGACATAGAAGAGCTAGGGCAAAGGAACACAAGGTTCTAGAATCTAGAAAGTAGTTAAAGACATGGCGTTAAATCAAGGAAAAAAAAAAAAAGACGCACAAGCAGAATCTTTGGTCTTCGACTGTTCTTGATGAACATAGAGCTGTGTCATGATTAATCTTTGAACGAACGAAGCCACACAAGACATTGATAGGACTTCAATAAAAAGATGGATTCAATTGGCATCATGGGCCGAAGGAAAGTGAACCAATGCTCTGGCACCATGTGAACATCGTCACAATCCCATGGAAAAGTCAAAAAATATTGAAACCAAAGAGTCCAATACAATAATGTTTGGGCTGGATATATATAGCCCTCAGCCACTTGCATGCAAGTATTCACACTCATAACAGAATACTCGCACGCAATAAGATACGTGTCTAACATTCATAGCCCAGTGTGCACTTGCTTCAGTTTTAAAATATTTGTTCATCATGCCTATTCTACCATGCCACGTGAGTCATTGAATTGACAGTCTTCAGTCTGAATGACTAGAAATAATAATTATTTTATTTTTTTTATATTACCTCATTGATCGATTTTCTTGGCCGACATTGATGCCTCCCACTTTCACTTTGGTGGAGTCACACTCTCGAATCGATGACAACCTCTGACTTTGATCTCTACTGTACTCTCCCCAACGTTACTGTTACTCATCACCTCGCAAAATTGTCTACGTGGCGCCTTCTCATTCCCCCACGTTTTCAATGTCGTCATGTCCAAAGCATACCAACCAAAAACATTATTAAAATTATTTTCCCTCAAATATACATTATATATGCGCTTCGTGTGAATAAAAGCAGGATCTGAATATTCAACCTCCCTTACCTTATTCCACAGGTCTTGAGAAAACTGAGGTGCAGTGATGTTGACAAAGTCAACCCGCATGGTCGCCGTGTAGTTATCTCCATTACATTTCTTTTCCAATACGTCCCCATATCTGACGTACGTGGATCGGGTCTCCTCTCTGCTCACGCTCTCGACCCGATCCATGAAATACACCACCGGCCTCCGGCACGGGTCGCTCACGGATCGGATGTTGAACACGAATGGCTGATCACTCCAACTGTTCCATGTCTGAAACGTCCCCAACGCCGTTTCCAGTTCTTTGGCCGTCAACAATGAAGGATACAACTGTACACTGTAGCCCCACGACACCGATATGGACCAGTTCCGTCGCAGGTCATAACAGATGCTCTGTTGCAGGATCCGACCCGAATCCATTTTATACGCCTTCACTAGCTTCTTGTATGACTCAACCCGGGTCGAGCTCGGAAACAGTTGGTCCACTGCTTCGATGTGGTGCAGTGACACCAGCGGCGCCACCGGGTGCGCCGCGAGCAAGCCGTATGAACTTCCTCTTATATCAACCTGGAACAAAATTACATGTAATGTATTAGTGTTCAAATTCAAGTAGTGTTTCATGAAATGAAGGAAGAGGAGGATGACCTGATGAAAACCACGCTCTTTCGTCGTTTGAACCCCAATCTCACTGACGCAGGCTTGGATCTTCTGATCACCTCCGTACAACTGAGCGTACCGGTTGACGCAGCCGTCTAGAATCTGCACAAGCTCCTCCGCCAGGGGATAGCTGATGGCGTATCCGCCGGCGCCGAACGCGGTCTTGTAAGAGAATGTAACATCTTGCTCCACACTCTCCGAATCGACTCCTATATAGTACAAATCGTTGTGGTCATACTTGGCCAATACCGTCACTAAATTCTCGGGGAAAAACAAAGTGTCGTCATCACCCATGACAAACCACCTCACGTTTTTCAAGCCAAGTTCGAAGCTCTCCTTAATGATGCGCGTGAGACGAATCGCGGAGCGGTCACCGTACCAGCAGGTGTAGTTGAAGGACGATGTATCGGCGGAGACTTTGTAGGGCGGCGAAGTCTCCGGCCATGTCTCATTTTCTGGAGGCTTCTGGTCCATCCACACGAAGCCTCTGGTAACATTAGGCTGCCAATAAAGCTCGACGTAGGGCCGTCGCTTGGGCCAGGTCTTGCCGGAGCCACCAAGGCCGAATAGAATATGAGAGATATTGGTGGGTTCTCCATCGCCCACGACAGAAGCGGTGGTCGTGGTATAGTGCCGAACGGCATGGCTGAAGTTGAATTCTGCAGTAGGATTGTAAAGATTAGCTTTGTGGACGAGGAAGAAGACGATGACGAAGGTGGAAAGGGACAGACAGATTTTGAGGCAAAGAGATGGAGGAAGTTTCCATGATTTGAGACGTTGCAGAACTGTGGAAGAAGACATGGGAAATGGGAATGAAGACAATGCAGTCGCTGGGATGAGAAAGTGTTTGGATTGGAGGATGAAAACTAGAGTTTGACATTAATGTGTGTGGAGTCGAATGACTCTGATGACAAAGTATTGGATATGCAGCACTGAAGCATATTCATTGATCTTCGCTAAAACAGGAGCATCTGAAGACTTGAGATAGTTCTCATCACATATTTGCGGCTTGGGTGAATTGTGGATCCCATTGGCAAGCGTAGAGAAAGGGGAAGAAGAGTCTGATGAGTTGGCATAGGAGCGTACAATAAACGGTCAAAGAGGTCTTAGTGCAGTATGTGGACCAATTCATCCCTGGTATCATTGAAGTACTGAGCTTTATATAATATATTCACGTGGGGTAGTGTCATTTTCCATTAATAATAATAATGTATGAGATGAAGCAGAGCAATGGGATTAGGACGACTTTGTGATTATTTGTAAGAGACGCAGTTGAGGCCTTTTATCAATGATATCCACCAAACAAACTCGTGGCGGATTCATCGACCAGACTCCGTGTGTGTTTAACTGTTTATCTTAATATACTTTGTTTTGTTTTAATTATCTGACTTGAAGTACTATAGTGTTTAAAGAAAATGGTCCCTCCATATCAGATCACTGACAGGAATTACTCTTGGATAACGGAAATTAAAACTGCATGTAATTAAATAACTTATCAAATAATTACTGATAATACGCGCGAGTAAAAAAGAAAGAACGGAATTAGTCGATAAAACAATGTTTAATTAATGTCGAATACAAATTTACCGGCGAGTTGGGGTGGGGATAAGGGACATGTATGTGAACTTTGGATTCATATTACTTCCTGTCATTCTTTTTACAAGGCCTTGTTAAACTGTCTTCCTAAGATCAACAGAATTAATTAAAGTTACTTAAATGTTAAACATGTTTATTGTTTTTCAAAATTACCCGTAATTAAACTGAAGCCAGTGAAAGTTTTTTTATGCCACTGATGTTCACTAAATTTTGTAAGAGGTCTTGTATTAAGGATGAGGGCTAAAAGGCAGGGTCTCATAAATGCGACAGGAGAGTATGGGTTGATTGGGGAAAAATAAATATAAAATGATCAGTCAGGATATTAAAGTCACTTCAGGCCATCTTGTACACTACTCAGATTTTTAATATGAGTCACTTTTAACAATACATAGTTTTTAACCAAAAAAAGTGGGTTAAATCATTAAATTTGTCTATTTCAATATTTCCCAAAGTGATTTATGGTTGGGACCCAAAAATCCTTCAAAATATATAACTAATATTGATAACCAAAGGAAGTAAAATAAAAAAACAAGGGGTCAATAGTATGATTATGAATCTAATTTATTTCGATTGAATTTGGGCCTAACAATAAAAGTTAAGAATGAAGGTAGTAAGTGGATTACATAAAATTGTCCAAGACCAAGGGCCGTTAAGAGGTCCAAGAGACTTTTAATTAGAAGTGTACCCAAAATAATTATTTTGCAAAGAAATCATATTTTCCAATTATAAATCTGCACCAATTATAAAAATATTTCGCTTTCTCTCTGTTTTTTTTTTCCTGCATCAGATGAATCTAAATCCTTAATCCCTAATACATATATAAATTATACATTGATCCCTTATATGGGAGAATGACAAGTAAGGGCCCCACAAAAATATTAATATCCAATTAATATTTTTTAACACTAACATTTTCAAAATCAGTACCTTTTCTCCTTTGTTTCAGTACTAAAATTCTTGATTTGGCATTAATTTTTTTACAAGGTCCTTATCATTCTCCCTTAGATCATCCTTATGACTTATTTTTTTTCTTACCAGCATCTTTAGGACCTTATGACTTGAGTCAGTTTAAAAATAAATTATTTTCTTAAATCCTGGACAACTGTAAACGAAAGAAGTTATGGTAAGTGGTCAGGCATTGGCGCATCCATTTAAAGATGAATTAGCAACATACACAAATTACACATATAATTGCAAATAGACACCGGAACTTTTTCTTTAAATAAAATTTCTTTTTTAGGGCAGAGATAACGAAAAAAATGACAACTAAAAGCATACTTCATTCCATACTAAGTTTAATTTTGTTATAGAATATCAAATAGAATAATTTTTTAAATTTACTAAAAACCTTAAATTTATATTACATTCTTATTTAAAATAATAAATAATATTAAAACATTTAATATCTTATTAATTGATTTATAATAAGGGATGGTCATTGTTTAAAATGTCCCTTGTAATTATAAACAAGAAGACAGATTAAAAAGGAATGGAAATAATGCTGTCAAATTTAATTATGAAGGTGCGCCCCGCATGGAGAGCACATGACATGAATGAACAATTGTACTGTGTTTGGTGAGATTACAATTAATAAAGGAGGACATGTTATCTTTTGTTGTTGAACCATTCCACTCCTAAATGCCGCGTGTCCACCTTCTTGTTTAGGCCAACCCCTCCTATCAACTTTTTAACCCTACAACATTTTTTTAAAATAAAATATTTTCCCCTTTCAGATTGTTTATTATGCCTTTCCTGCTTCCGAAGTGCCATTGTGCCAAACTGCCCATAGCATCAAATAATATAATGAATACGTAATTTTTTTTTAATATGTCAGTTTCTCACACTTATTTAGTATCACTATTATTTGCAATATGAAAGTCCTTATTCATCGCTATAAAATTAATGGTTAATAAAATTTAAAGGATCGGTCCATGCCGGGGATCAAATCATTTGATTAAATTAAAAAAGGAAAAAAAATACTTTGTACAAATAACAAGTATTTTTTTTCTCTCCATTCTAGGCAAGTCTGGAAGAATTTGAAATAATGCAAAACGGCACCCCGTTTGACACGGTCATCATCTCTGAAGTTTCATCGACTATCGTATCGTGGCTTGCCGCGTAGATTCTGAAACTCATCATATCACGCCTGACCTACGGAGGGGTCACGCTCTCAAATGGATGACACCCTCTGATCTTCACTCGGACCCCACCCACTTCATCATCGCCGCTGATAACATCGCAGCATTGTCTACGTGGCGCCTGCTCATTCAATCACATCCTCAATTTTGTTACATCGACAACAAATCCAAAAAATGCCGTGCTCTCGAACAGCATTTTTAAATTTTGAACTACCATAAATAATTCCACAAAATTAAATAATGGATAACTAACGTTCCCAACAAATTTACAACATTTCATCATTTAAATTTTAAATTTACAACATCCCACAAAATTAAAATTTACTTAATTTCCCAAACAAAAATGATTAGTTTTTCAAATTTCGCATTGATTCCGCACAACTACTTTTGTTTTAGATACTGGCGAAAAGAAAAACCACCAATTTTATATGAGTTCAAATCAAAATCGCGGCCCAGCATATTCAGAAGCGCATATTGCGGATGAAATATTGGAAATCAAAATTCTCAAAAGAACAAAAAATCCAACGGCTGAAAATCAACAAACAGATGAACATGATGGGACTATTCTCTCACCTTTTTCCACAAGTCTGGCAAGAGGTGCGCTGCAGTGACGTTGACCAACTGAACGCCTTGAGCGGCCAAGTAGTCAACCCGGTCGCATCTTTTCTCATCATCTTCCACGTGTCTTACGTACGTGGATCGGGTATGTCCCTCGCCCACCACATTGTCGACCCGATTCAGGAAATACACCAACGGCCGCTCACAAGGCTCGTTGCTCATGGGTCGGGTGTTCATCAGGAACGGTTCCTCGTTCCAGCTCCTCCATGTCAGGAACGTTCTGAAAGCCGTTTCCAGCTCCTTCGCCGTCGGCATCCAAGGATATAGCTGTAAGCTGTAACCCCACGCCACCGATACGGACCAATTCCGACGTAGGTCGTAGCAGAAACTGTGTTGCAGTGTTCGACCCGGATCCATTTTGTAGGCCTCAACCAGTTTTGCCACCGCTTCGACCCGGTCTATGTTCGGAAATATCGGCTCCACGTAGTCTAGGTGGTGCAACGACACCAGCGGCGCCACCGGGTGCGCCGCCAGTAACCCATACGGGCTCCCCCGAATATCGACCTGGAATACCATGAAAATTTAAACTTGAAATGACATTCGTAGATAATCAGAATGCCTCCATTATTAAATGACAATATGAACAGAAGTTGGGGTTGAGATGCAGAGATGAAATGTCTTAGTTACAGGTGAACAGGCAATTTTGAATAGAGATGTTAAACGGCAACGTTTCAGAGCTAAATAAGGCAAAGAGAGAAAGTGAGAAACAGGGGAAGAGCAGGGAGCGACCTGATGAAAACCAGGCTCTTTGGTAATTTGAACTCCTATTTCACTGATGCAACCCTGAATTTTCTGATCGGAACCGTAAAATTGAGAGTACCGATCAATACAACTGTCGAGAATCTTTACAAGTTCTGCTGCTAGTGGGTAGCTGATGGCAAACCCGCCGCCGCCGTAGGCCATGGCGTAAGAGTGGATCATATTCTGTTCTACACTCTCAGAATTCCCGCCGATATAATACATTTGATTGTGATCGTACTTCTGCAATACCGTCACTAGATTCTCCGTGAAGAACACCGTATCATCATCTCCCAACACGAACCACCTTACATTGTTCAACCCCAATTCGAAGCTCTCCTTCACAATGCGAGCAATCCGAATCGCCGACCGTGAACCGTACCAGCAAGTGTACTTGAAAGACGACGTATCCTCTGATACCTTATACGGCGGCGTTGTCTCCGGCTCGGGCCATGTCTCGTTTTCCAGAGGATTCCGTTCCAGCCAAACAAACCCCTGGCGACATTCGGCTGCCACCATAGCTTGGAGTACTGACGGCGAGTGCGCCAGGTCTGGACGGAGCCACCGATTCCAAACAGAATATGAGATATATTGGTGGGGTCGTCGCCGGCGATGGCAAGGACATCACGTTGAAGGAAGTAACGCGTGAGGGTTTTATGGCCGTAGTGAGGGGGGTGGTAGGAGGAAGAGAGGTAAAAGAAGAAGAAGACGATGCCAAAAGAGCAAACGCCGAGACCGGCTTTGAGGAGGAGAGAGAGTATATCGCTGAGTTTGATGGTGGTGGGGAAGAAGACGAGGGATTTCCATACTTTCAGAGGATTTTGAGCTGTGGAAGAAGACATTTTTTTGAATAGGAAGGGAAAGTGGAGACGAGGTTCAAAAAGAATGATGACAATAAACAAAATGTTCATCTCATATATATATATATATATGGACTGGCACACATAAACACCAAATAGTGGAACAAGTGAAAGTTGTGGGAGAACGTACGTTTTGCTTCACAAGTCAGAAACTCATAATACACGGGTGCCTGCAGTACAACTCATTTAATGGAGTTTTAATTTAAATTTGAAAATCAATTACCAGATATTACTTTGAGCCAGAAAA